AGATGTAAGAAAATGTTTTTCTCCCTGAGCCTGGCCTTCATAATTCCATTCCATCACAGAAAAATTTAGATGTTTTGCCGCTCTTACCGCCACAAAGTAAGCCTTAATCGTGGCTCTAGCCTGTGTTTGGTCATGTTTGGTCTTCATTTTCCTCCAGTGGCGCTCTAGACGTCTCTTAATCCTTTTCAAGACCCTCAGCTCCTCCATGTTCCAGAGGGAGTGTCGGGCTCAATGAGCTAGGAGAGGTCGCACAGGCGCGATCTTGTCCAAGGCCTCAGCCGCTTTCCTATTCCAGGCAGCGGCCAAGGCCTCCACTGGACCATGCAGCAGACCCTCGAGTATAACTCCCAGCTTCCTTTGGAACCCCATTGGGTCCATCAGTTGCCATGGGCAGACCAGTTGAATAGGTCCCGCCTCCCTGCAGAGAGGGGTAGCATAGAATCTCAGGGCCACCAGGGCATGATCTGACCATGACAAGGGGGATAGATGCAATTCCTTCTTCAGATGACATTGCCACTGCTTTGACAAGAAAACCAAGTCCAGTGTGAGGCCACTGTCCTGAGTTGGGTCATGAATAATCTGGGACAGGCTCGTGGTTCCTGTTGTGGCCATGAACTCCTGAGCTGCCTCTGAGGCTTGCCCTACGGCTGGCAAGTTGAAGTCCCCCAAAACAAGTCTGGGGAACTCCACCGCCAGCCTAACAATGGCCTCTTAACAGCTCAGGCAGGGAAGTTGCTGCGCAGCAGGGAGACTGGTACAACAGCAACAATCCCAACTGTTCTCGTGAGCCCAACTTCAGGAACAGGGTCTCACAACTGGCCACTTGTGGAGCAGTGCCCCGAAGGCCAAAAGAGATTCCCGGGTGACAACCGCTACCCCTCCTCCCCTGCCCTGAGGTCTCAGCTGGTGCCAGACTGTGAACCCGGCTGGTCACCTTTCCAAAAGGGGCACTGTCCCTTCAAAGCCCAGCCAGGTCTTGGTGATATACACCAGGTCGGCCCGCTCCTTAGTGATCAAATCACATATAAGGGGGAGCTTGTTGTTGACTGATCTGGCTTCAGGAAGCAGCCAGGGCCTCCATGGGTTAAGAGTACAGAAGGCCAGAACATGCTACCGGTAACAAACACTGGGGGCGACTTCCCCGAGAATGGCCCGCCCTCTGACTCCGATTATAACATCCCCTCTCCACCACCACCTGAATGGTATAACCCGCCCTAAGCCCTACAGGCACTCAACTTCCCCCAAATCCAAACCCCCCAGCTTCCCTAGTCAAGGAACCCTCCATCCAATCATACAACAGGCACCCAATCAATCAATCAAGGGAGTATGATGGGTTCCCAGGCACTTCAGCTTTCACTTGTAGGGGCCCTATCCCTCCCCCTTCATCCACCAGCTTCTCTCACTAGTCGGAAGGGGGCACCTGATTAACGCCTCTCCACTCTACCCAACTTCAGGTGGGTATCCACGCCACATTCATAGACTCACAGCCTCACCCACACACTCACAGACTCACCCTGGGGCTTCTCTCCCTGTCTTTCACCCTAGGGAGGGAAGCCCAACTATCATTTACTGAAGGGACCCCAATGCTGTCATCAATTCTCAACTTCTTCAGGCCCCTTCAGGCCACAGTTACTATATAGACACCAGTTGACTGGCCAATTTCCTGGTCTCGGGCCAGCGCTGCCAAACCCCCTCCAATAAGCGCTCAGGCTGCCACCAGTCCTCTGGTGCCAATCTGGTCAATCTTTGGGCCCTCCAGGCATGTGGGATTGGGCACCCCCGGTGATTTCAGGCTGGCTCCAAGTTCTCTCCCTGCAGTCCCTTCTTGGGCCCTTGCCGGTTGCCACTTGCTGCGCAGTGCATACCATGCCACTTGCCACTGGCATTGGAAATTGTCTTCCTGCGGCCTAGAACTCTCTCTCATCACCCTCGCTGCTTGCCATGCTCCCTGCTGCCCCACTCGCCCCGACACACCGCCCAATGCAAGCATGTTGCGCTCCACCAGTCCCAGGGTTCCAAAGCACCCCCAAAAGGAGTCCAGCTCTCACTAGTCACCACCCGCTGTGGTGCGCTGGGCTGCCCAACACAGTTGCAGAGCTCTGGCCAGCCACAATGGTGTCTGCCAAGCTCCGCCAGGCAAATGGCTCCAGGACAGCCCCAGAGCTGATAATCCGGCGTCAGGGAGCTGGCAGATTGTTCAGGTAAACCAGTGGGGTGAAATGGGGTATATAAGACCCATGCCCCTATTCAAAGACTAGTGAGGTCTGGCATGGTAGTTGGTATTTGCTCCCAGTCATCATCTTGGAATTATATCAGGGTATAATGTTATATTTTAATCTTATTACATAATGTTATATTTTAATCTTGTTATACAATGTTATTATATTTTTAATTCTTTAAGTGACCTATTTATTTATTTAAATCATATGGCTACCCATCTCAGAAATTCAACAATACAATATAAATACAACATAAAAATAAATTTCTTATTATTTGTTATGATTATTACATTGGACATTTTTAAATGAACTATAATTGATCTAGTGTATTGATGCTTATATTTGACTTGACTTGGATTTGACTTGTATTTCAAGAACCTCTTTAAGCACAGTTTCTTTTTGGAAAATGTGATATATAAATAGATGAACTGTAAACAAGTATTGCTTCTGGTGACCTGGAAATAATGATTCCATTAATGAAGCCTCAGATCACATTATACTCTTTTACAGTTGTATAACACCACTGACTCACATTTAGCTTGTGACCTAAGATCCATTTCACACTAAGTTGGCTACCCCATTATATACCCATGTGTTTGATTCCCCCCCCCTGCCCAAAAAACACAACTTTCTATTTGTTACATTTCAGGTAATTTTTTATTCTGTTATGGTCATTTTGAACATTATTACAGTAGTATCTTCTGAAGTGTTACTTATTTCTCCTAGTTTTGTGTCCTATGCAAATGTGATAATAATTTTCTCCTCTGCTTCTTTTAAGTAACTGGTAAAACATATTGTAATAGTATTGGTCCTGCAACCCTTTACTCAAAACCTCTCTTCAGTCTAATGAGGAACCAATTAACGATAACCCCTTGAATATGCTTTCCAGTTAACTGTGGCATTATAGTCTAACAGTGCTATAATTTATATTTTACCAAATATGTTAGATTATATTATCAACTGGCTTGCTGAAATCAAGATAAAGTACACCACCAGCATCAACAGTCATCATTAATCTAATTACCCAATCAAAAGGTATGATTTAACAGGAGATATTCTGGACAAGGTCATGCTGGTTTCTGCCTTATCACCTTAACTACTTTGTCATGATTCTACAATCTTCCTTAGTACTGAGGTCGTACTCTAGCATTCCATTCTTGAATATAAGAAAAACATTTGCCTGTCCCCATGCTTGTGGAATTCATCTTGTTTCTCCTGAGAGTATTTCAACAAGTACTTTTATTATGCTAGTATCATTTATCTTTCCTATATAATAGTTTGTTTATTTAATCATTTTTATTTTAAATGTTTCTCTAAAATATTATTTTTAATTCAGGAGTTTCCATGTCCTTTGCTGAATCTCTCTGACAAGGAAGTGGAAGAAGTAATAACTGTGAAGTCAACGCAAGATTCGCAGGAGTCCATGAGAATAGCCTGGCGTTACCAGACCAGACCAAAGCAGGAGGTAAATAGCATTTCACAATGTTATTGTAAACCTTCAAGATTTTAAAGGGAAATGCTACATTAACATAAATAAATTGATGTTTGAATGATCTTTGAACATCATATGTGAGGGGATGTGATGCCAATGTAGAACCAGAGCATTCTGAAACAATGTTTTTACGCTAGGGTTCCTTGAACAATTTAAATGTATTCTATGAATTCCTGTAGGCTTTGGATCAGTGTAGTTTTGCTATCCAAACTAGTACTCTGTCCAAGGATTAAGAGGAGAAGTTGGCAGATATCTCTTTGGCTATTACATTGAAACAATTGGGGGAAAATCAGTACAAACCTTTTCAATAAAAACTGACAAAGCATATGAGCTTCTAACGTAGAAGGTAGTGAAAGTTGTTCAATATAACATTGTTGAAGTTGATTAGCAGTACTCACAAAAACCAAGACCAGAGGTCAGAAAGGACTAAATCATATGCTGACTCTATTTGAATCTATCTTAATCTCCCAACAGAATGAGTGGAAGATGAATGTAAGGATAGATTACATGGAAGCCATTTAAAATGGTGAAAAGACATGTTACAGAGTGCCATGGTAGTGTGAAAAAAAAATGCTTGCTGGAATGAGAAAAAAATGCATTAAGAGAATGATTGCTGCAAAAAATGAGGATGAAGGAATGATAGGTTGGTCAAATATCATATTTTGCATGATTATGGAGCTGAAGGTTGGCTACTATATGCAATAAGAGTGGATATGATAGAAGTAAAGTAGTGTAAGAATAAACTGAATGCTTAGCAAATTGTTCAACATTGAACAGAAAATTATACAAGAATGTATGATATCTCCTTGGTTGTTTAATAGATGGATGAATGAACCTATAAGGCATATTTGTGCTCACATTAGATGTATGTTGATTGGGAGCATGGATGTGTGTAGTTTTGTATATACATAATGTTATATTGCTGGTTGAGATCCTAAATGATTTGCAGTGAATGTTGGGTAGACTGTATAATGCAATAAGAAGTATGCATCTGAACATTAATATGTGAAAAAACATAGTTGTTGGAGATTATAAATAAATGGAAAAAAGGGGCATGAATTTGTGTAACTAGGAATGTTACTAAAGATGGGAAAATTAATGGAAAAAATAGTTGTGCAAATACTGGTGTTATAAGTGGGTGGTATGTGATCTGTTGCAAGGAAATAATGTTTGTCAAAACAATACACTGTGTATAAGAGCATGCTTCTGCCCACTTCATTATATGGAGGTTAAAATTGCGTCAGGAGGAACATAGAAGTAAATTGTATTCTATGGGCATGGGATATTCAAGAAGTACAGTGGTACCTCTAGTTACGAACCTAATCCG